CTCTCTCTCTCTCTCTCTCTCTCTCTCTGTGTGTTCTTTTTATCATCCTTTTTCTTTGCATTTAGTTTTCTTCTTCGTCTTTCTTTCTTCTCCGCTTTTCGGTTTTCCACTCCTCCTTTTCTTTTACTTCTCCTTTGAGTTTAATTCTTTCTTTTCCTTCTTTTCTTTTCCTTTTATTCTTCCTACTTTTCTTCTTCGTTTTCAAACTATGTTCTATCTCTTAATTCTTCTTTGTGTTCATTCTTTCTTTTCCTTTCGCTATTGTCGTTCTTCGACTTCTTCTGCTTCTGCTTTCCTCTGCTACTTCACAATTTTTTTGCAAGCATCTAAATCTTCCTTGCATATCGAAAAAATTCTTTCAATATCATGGACCTAATAAATGACACAGTGTCTGAGACATTCTTTTCGCTAAGACGTTACTGGCCTTAATGGTTTCTTTTGAATTTAGTGCCCTACAACATACTTATAAATATGAACTCAAACAGAGCCTCAAAGCAGCTAAAAATCTCCATTTTTAGGCCAAAATAACTTACAATTCTTTAACTTGACCAATTGTAAACTCAATAGTGTGTTCCCTTATTGTAAATATTTGTTTGGACAAGACCTGCCTTAGGTTAGTGGTCATACAATTTATGGATTTGATTTTAAGCAAAGAAATTTGCCTTGAGATCACGGTGCAAATATAATTATTTACATAGGCTAACGATCTCAATCTATGGATCAGGACAGGACTGTAATTATCTTATTCAGTTCATGCGCATCTTAATGTAATGATCTTGGCACAGATTGCAATTATTTATTCGACTAATGCTCTTAATCGAATATTCATGGTACGAATTGGAATTATTTACTTCGACCAATGATTTTACTAGAGGTAATGTTAGAATATTTAATTATTTATTTACATATTGATTTAACTATCACCACACTAACTGGTACTGTTTCTGTGATGAAGGTTCTTTTTAATCAAATGATTTTGACACGAATATAAATAATTTATTTGACCAAATATTCTATTGAACTGATGAAATCACACGAATATAAATAATTTATTTGACCAAATATTCTGGATGTTATTTTATTTAAGATGAACGTTCTCTACCTAATATTTTATTACTCTAATGATCATGTCACACATTGTAATTATTTATTTAATAAATGATCGTTTTAATATAGGGACTCTGAGACTTCTGACTCGCCTAAAACCACTCAGGCACAAGATATTCTTTATGGAAACCATCATCCCTTGGAAAGTTGTAGTTTTTTGTTGTTGTCTACATGTTTTGCGATATTTTTTTTATAAGCGTTTCACCCCAAGCAAGGCGAGAAGCCACTAGAACGCAAGGGGTTACAGAAGATCAGATAGGAGTGATAGAAGAAAGGATGAGGAGAAGGGTAGTGGATAGATCAAGGCAACTGGAGATGTCGATTGACATTACATTTGAATAGCTTGAGATTATAGGTCTCAGGGAAACTGGAATAGGGAAGGGAGTTCCACAGGTGAGAGGTGCGAGGTATGAAGCTATTGGAGTAGAAGAGACGGCTACATTTAAAAGTTTCTACAGTGTAAGGGTGAGAGCGGGATGCTAGCCTCGCAGGGCGCTTGAACACATGAAGTCTGGGAACCAGCGAATGCAGCTCCACGGAGCAATTGCCATGAAAGTATTTGTAAAACAGACAGAGAGAGGCAACGGCGCGTCTGTGAGAAAGTGACTGTAGACTAGATGCCAGAGCAAGGTCAATTATATTGCATATCCGCCTCCGGAGCCTATCAAGAACCCCGAGGCAAACAGAAGGTGCTCCAGACCATATATGGCAGCAATACTCCATGCAAGGGCGAATTGTTGATTTGTAGATCTGGAGGATCGATTCCGGGGAGAAAAATTTCCTGGCGCGGCACAGGGAGCCAACTTTCCTTGCGGTGGACGAAGCAATTGACTCAATGTATTTGTTCCATTTCAGGTCAGCAGTCAGCGTGAGACCGAGCAGCCGCAGATAGTTGCTCTCGGGAAGTTGAGCGTCAGACATTTTAATGGGGGGCAGGGAAGGATCTCTATGGTGATTAATAGAGAGCAGTTTTGTTTCTGAAGCATTAAAGTTGACCAGCCAATTCCTGCCCCAGTTCACAATCGATTGGAGGTCCTTTTCGAGACGCACGGCCAGGTTAGTTTTGTCAGTGACACTAGATTTGATTTTGAGGCAGAAATAAATTGTGGTGTCATCCGCGTAGATGCCAACTTGGGAAGTTATGGCGTCAGGAAGGTCATTTATGTAGATAAGGAACAGAGTGGGGCCGAGGATGTAGCCTTGAGGAACACCTGCGTTCGTGGGATAGGAACTGGAGGAGAATCCGTTGAGAACGTCCTTCAATTCACGGTTTGACAGGAATTATTGTATTAGATCAAACAATCGACCCGTAATGCCATAACCCTGGAGCTTGCGAAGAAGGCCGGGATGCCAAACCCTATCAAACGCTTTGGAGATGTCTAGGGCCACGGCACGAGCCTCCCCGTTATTTTGAATGGCTTGGTAGACGTTTCAGTGATGGCCGTAAGCACATCAGCTGTAGATCGGGCAAAGCGGAAACCATATTGCTTGTCTGGGAGCAGATCATGGGATGTGAGGTGGTTAACCATTTCGGTATTGATTAGGGCTTCGAAGACTTTGCCGAAGAGGGGTCGGAGACTGATAGGACGGTAGTTAGAAGGGTCAGAGGGGTCGCCAGAGTTCTTGAAGACAGGAACAATCGAAGAGGACTTCCAGCAGTCAGGAAAACAAGATTCCTTGAGGCAGTAGTTATATAGTTCAGAGAGGGCTCCGCCAGTTCAGGCGCGCATTTCTTCAAGACAATGGCTGGTATCCCATCTCCACCACTAGCCTTGTTGGGGTCTAAATTGGAGATAATGCTCAATACCAAAGACGGGGTTATGTGTAACCCACTCAATAGGGCCTCAGTTATAAAAGGGAAGTCGGGTATGGGTACACCGGAAGAGTCGAGTTGAATGAAAATTTCCGAGCAAAGCATTCATCCTTGTTGGCAGAGGAGGTCAGGTCTTCGAACTTGCTGAACAAAGGAGGTATAGAGGGTTTGCAATTGTTCAATACGCTCTTGCAGAGACGCCAATAATCTTTGGAGCCAAATTTGCGAGATGCAATACGCTCCTTCATTCGAGCAGCAAATAGTGACTTAGCATCGTTGAGGCAAAGAGACGTCTATTGCAGTCAGACATGTCGCTACGAAATAGGTGAAAAAGTGGTCCCTATGGGCGATGGCGGCTGAGCAAGCAGCGGAGTACCAGAGGGAGGAGAGCGACTTGACCCTATATTTCCTTGAGGGGATGAAAGCGTCGATTCCAGCTTTAACCCAGGATGAGACCTCAGAAGCACATTCTTGGACGGGGAGCATAAAGACAACATCACAGGGGACATCGCGGAGGAAATCACGGAATGCGTCCCAGTCAGCTCGTTGATAATAGAACAAAGTTCTAGTGGTAGGAGGTTCTTTGCAGGGGTTAGAGTTGAAGGAGATGTTAACAAATACTACAGCATGATCAGAGTTACCAAGAGGGCAGGGTTGCGTGGCGCTACAGGACTCCGGGATGGAGGTAAAACACAGATCGAGAAGAGAGGCTTTACCTTTCCGGTTGAAGGCAAAACGAGTGAGGAAGTTAACTATCTGCATGGGGGATTGAGAGACTGAAAAATTGAGCGTTTGAATGTCTGCTTAGTCAGTAGTAGCATTCTTAAGCCACATGGTATGATGGGCGTTAAAGTTGCCAAACACAAATATGTGAGCAAACGGGTGGAGGGAGAGAGCCTTGTTTATGCTGTCGAGTATCCCACAGTCTTGAGAGGATTGAGAGCGATAAAGGAAGAAGAGATAGCTTACCGCATTGAGAAGAGATAGTCGGAGACACATGTACTTCTGGTCTGGCGATTCGAGAGACAACTCTCTGGCCAGAGGGAGATGGTCTTTGACGAAGACACCAAGGCCGTGCA